GGACTCAATTTGCACTATTTCTGGCAGTCTGCAAAGGCCCAAAGTTTTAAAGCTCATAATCTAGTTAAAAGTCTTATGTGAAACTGTAACCTAGAGACCACTTATACAATATAGTAATAGATACTGTAAATCTTTGTAACTCTTGTATCAACTCTGAATACCAACCAGAAGAAAGATACTGTAACCAACTATCTTGTAAATAAAGTTTTCTCTTTTTTGATTCAACCTATGGTTGCTTGAGGTATTTTAAGAAACTATAAGTCAAATGCTACCAGGAATTAATAATTATTTTATTGCTGAGGTCACTCCGAATAGTAAGTGCTCTGTCTCACTATAGAGAGGCAAAGAAAAGGGTGGGATCTGAGTTTGAGGGTCTTATCGTGCAATTTGGTGGCAGCTAGGGAGGTAGCCGTCACAAAGTGGTGGCAGCAGTGGCACACAGAGGAAAAGAGAAAAGGTTTTAAGAGATTTTGGCAATGCCACATTGTCATGTCACAGTCACCCAATGGGTTTCCATGGCTGAGTGGGAAACTGAACCCTGATCTTCAGAGTCGCATTGCAACACTCAAGCCACTATGCCACACTGTCTTTCAGAAGAATCCCTACATAAATCTCATTTAAGCTCTGTCAGACTGCACTCTCCATACACCAGAATGGTGAAAGGTCTGGAAACCATGCCCTCTAAGGAGCATCTTAGGGAGCTGATTATGTTTAGCCTGGGGAAGAGAAGGTTAAAGGGTGACGTGATAGCCATGTTTAAATATTTGAAGGGATGTCATATAGAGGATGGAAGAAGCTTGATATCGAGCAATGGATTCAAACAAGTGGAAAAGATTCCAGCTCAACATTTAGGAAGAACATCCTGACAGTAAGAGCTGTTGGACAGTGGAGCACAGTCCCTCAGAGAGTGGTGGAGTCTCCTTCTTTGGAGGTTTTTAAACAGACTGGATGGGGTGCTTTGATTGTGCATTCCTGCATGGCAGGGGGGGTTGATCTGGATGGCCCTTGGGGTCTCTTCCAACTCAACGATTCATTCTCTGCTTAGCCTAACTTCTGTTGGCATGAATTTCAGAGAAGGTCCCAGCCCGGGAAGCTTCTTCCAGCCTTGAGAGACCCTAGCTATGCAGAGCTAGCCTTCCCATGATCTTTCTTCTCCCTTGTTCTCTCCTCTGCCCTTGCTATTCCAGCCACCAGTCCAGTCAGGGCAGGTGGAGGGGGCAGCTGACAGTCCCCCCTTCCAACCAAACGGAAGATCCACCCAAAGGGAAGCAACCCTGTCCCCGAAGGACATTTCCTCTGCCCTGAGAGCTTGTGCGAGGCTCTGCCATGGCAGTGTGTCTCCTTCAGCCTCTGGGAAATTGACCTTCATGATTATTATTGATTTTTAGCATCATGAAGCACTGCAGGGTTAAAGCAGCGCACTTTACCTCCTGCTGCTCTTCTGCATGAAGGACACGGGAGCACATGCATTTTTAAAAATGCCCTTATGTTCTCTGCTGCCCATCGGTTGCGGACTCTTTTCTGCTAGGCCTCAGGTTTAGTTCATCTCTCTCTCTCTCTCTCCCCCCCGCTTCCTTTTCCAAAGACTTATGGGGGAATGAACCTCCGAAAGAAGAGGAGGAGTTGTTGTTCTGTGCCTTCAGGTTGTTTCCGACTCGTGGTGACGCCGAGGCGAACGGATCCCGGGGTTTTCTGGGGATGAGAGTGTGTGACGCGCTCAAGGTCACCCAGTGGGTTTCCATGGCTGAGCCAGGATTCGAACCCGGACCTCCAGAGTCGAGGTCCGTCGCTCCAAGCACGAGGCCACGCTGGCTTTCCTAAAGGGCAGACATTCGTTATATAGCGGGCCTAGCGGGCCCCCAAAACTAACTGCAGAAATAGTCCAGTTCGAGACCGCTTTAACTGCCCTGGCTCAGTGCTAGGGGACCAGGGAAACTGTGGTTTATTGTGGCACCAGAGCAATCTGAGAGAGAAGGCTCAATGACTCACAAAACTGTCCTTCCCAGGATTCCCTAGCCTTGAGCGAGGGCCGCTAAAGCGGTCTCAAACTGCCGTAAAAGACTTGTCCTACCGAAGATTTGAGACGGTTTTGACCACGAGTTCCCCAAATCCGCCAGCGCTGCTGCAGAACTCTCCCGGTTTGACACTGCCACGGCTCTCAGTGCTATGGGATTCTGGGAATTACAGTTTATTGTGGCACCCGAGCTCCCTGACAGAGAAGTCTAAATGGCT